ACTGTCTTTTCCCACAAAGTATCCTTTGGTGCCACTGTCAGAATTTAGAACTGGCTAGACTGAATTTAGCCTGACTCAGCATAGCATTTTATTTATTTTTTTGTCTTACGCTAATGCTCGAAAGCTTGAAACTCTGCACTCTATTCAATCCATTTCATCAAATATTTATTGAGCACCTACTATGTGCCAAGCATTAAGGATACAAGATTAATAAGACATAATTCTGTTGCAACTTAAGTCAATAAGTGCCCTCATAGAAATCTGTATGTCTTGGCAAGTCCCAGATGGTTGTTCTGATGATATTCTTCAGGGGAAAAATCATAAGCAATCCTCATACAAGACAATGTCCAAGAGACTTCATACTAAAAATAATCTATCCATGTTTTCACTCAATATTTTAAGCACAACGTGGAATTATGCTGAATCACTATTCTTAAAAAAACACTCACATATTTGTGGCTCTTCCCTATGATACCAGCACCATTCTCCTTTTAAATCAATAGCCTTTCAATTCTTTTAGTAGAAATTATTTAAATCTTTTTAGTCTTTGAGTCAAAACTCTCATTTTGATTTTGAGATCCTGAACTGGAGACTTCAGTTTCCACACAAGGCAAAATTGTTTTTAAAGTTTAAATCAGGCAGTATGTTTCAAACTAAAGTTGCTAAACCCAGGATAACCAAAAATTAAACAGTTAGCAAATCCAAAACACTTAGAGTTGGACTTACTGAATATGAACAATTTCACTAGTTATATTACATAATTAATTTTTGAATTAAAATTTCAGTCTCAATTAATTTACGTGTTTTCATTTTTGTTTTCCATTTTTTTTTTCTTTAGAGGTTATTTTTCTCCCTGACAATTTTCATGGCATTTACATGAATCAGTGTGTGAAGGAACTTGGCAATCACATTATACCATTGTCTTATTTTGTGGAAAAGAAAATGTAAGCCCAGAAACAAGTAACTCATAGAAGCATAAGTTTCTTTGCATAGTGCCTTTGAAATATAATTGTGTGATAACTGGTAACTACTGTTATTGGAAACTTGTCCCTCAGATTCCTAGTCCATTACTCTTACTTGCCTAAATTATTTCTCTAAACTATTTGGTTAAAGCATTCTTTTGGGCTTGTACCCTGCTCAAGACACTCTGATTATTGTGGGGTTTTTTTTTGCATGATATTTAATGGATCTATTTATTAATTTAACAAGTATTTATTGAGTACCACTTAAGTTTCAGATACTGGTCTTGCCATTACTTTATATATTAACAGAAATTATTAAATAGTGAGTATTATTTTGGAAGTGGTTTAGTTGCTAAGTGCTGTTCGACTCTTGCAACCCACGGGCTGTTGCCCACCAGGTTTCTCTCTCCATGGGATTCCCCAGGCCAGAATACTGGAGTGAGTTGCCATTTCCTTCTCCAGGGGATCTTCCCAATCTAGGGATTGAACCCACATCTCCTGCACTGCAGGCAATCTTCTGCATTGCAGGTGGATTCTTTACAGATGAACAACCAGGGAGGCCCGAGTGTTATTTTAAACCCATATAAATGAGCATTTTGTGGTTAGTCTTGTGTGTGTGTGTGTCTGTGTGTGTGCTTGTGTGTGTGTGTGTTTTCCTGTGGCAGAGGGGAGCGGAGGTGAGAGAATGTCTGCCTTCCTTCCTGTGTAAAATCTGCTTGGTTTTCTATCTTAACTGCTATTTTATGCCAAATATGTCATGTTAAGACAAGCTTGTTTCTGGGACTTCCCTGGTGGTCCAGTGGTTAAGACTCAGCATTTCTGGTTCAGGAGATGCAGGTTCAATCCCTGGTCTGGGAACTGGGATCTGGCCTGCTTCATAGAGCAGCCAAAAAAATAAAAGCTTATATATGTATATATAAAATATGCTTGTTTCTGAGAAGCATGTCTACACTAAGTCTCCTGGGTTTTATTTTATGATGAAATACTGATTTCCTCTTTATAAAACAAATTCTTTATCCCATAATTTTGAATAACATACTTTCAAAAACCCTTTGTCTGATCGGATTTAGGACATTAAACATTTCAGCATAACAATATTTTCCTCTGGGCCTGCAGCATTTTAATTTTATTGTTAAGGAATAACTTTCATTAATTTTAAGGCTTTGCTTCAGAATGAAATGAAACAGTATGTGTAATGCTAATAGTTATGCCAGACAAAGAAATATTGCTTTCCTTATTTAAATGATTTGTCTTCATTGTAAAAGTGATAATCAAATTTTAGTTCTTTCTGATTTTTCCTGTTCTTTTTTCACTCATGCAGCATTTTGGTCCTATTTGCTTGTTCTCTCTTTTTATGGGTCTCCCCTAGCTTCTCTTTTGGCTCCCCTGGTGTCTTAGTCAGTAAAGAATCTGCCTGCAATGGAGGAGAATGGCTGGAGTACACGAGACAAGCGTTCGATCCCTGGGTCGGGAAGTTCCACTGGAGTAGGAAATGGCAACCCACTCCAGTATTCTTGCCTGAAAAATCCATGAACAGAGTAGCCTGGCAGTTACTATTTGACTTTTCTAGTATTGCTGTCAAAAAAGTTCAGTCCTTGGATTCCAGGTTGCTTTTCTATATTCATCTGCTCTATACTGTCCTGTTAGTGAAAATTCTTGCTTGTTGCTTGGTGGGACATCAAAAATCTGGTAGTCTTTGGCTTCTGCCTCATTTAGGGATGAGGAGTACAAGACAAGAAACATAGACTCCTTGGTTTAGGATTTCTTAGCTTATTAATTTCTGGGCTCAAATTTCTTGGCTTCATATTTCTCCCAAATTTCCCAAAGGCTAACACTCTAATATCTGCTTAAAAGCAAATAGCAAAGAAAGTAGCAGAATTTTTTAAAAAAGGAGCTAGCTGATGTGAAATCTAGGTAGTGGTTTTAGCCCTGGATCTAACAACAAATATGATCAAATGGATATGGTAATACACATAAGTAGCTCCTGAACTTCTATGGGAAGAGAGGGAGAGCTTAAAAAATTACAGGCAAGTACTGAACTGACTGACTGACTGACTGACTGATATAAAAGGGGCTTTCCAGGTGGTGCTAGTGGTAAAGAACTTGCCTGCCAATTCAGGAGACATAAAGAAACAAGGGTTTGATCCCTGGGCGAGGAAGATTCGCTGAAAGAGGACACGGCCATCCACTCCAGTATTCTTGCCTGGAGAATCCTTTGGACAGGGGAGCCTGGCAGGCTACAGTCCATAGGGTCACTAAGAGTCACACATGGCTGAAGCAACTTAGCACACACACACACACACACACACACACACTGATATTAAAATGTCACAAACATATAATGGTTTCTTGATGCTTGCAAGGTAACAGTTCAGTTCAGTTGCTCAGTCGTGTCCGACTCTTTGCGACCCCATGGACTGCAGCACGCCAAGCCTCCCTGTCCATCACCAACTCCCGGAGTTTACTCAAACTCATGACCATTGAGTCAGTGATGCCATCCAACCATCTCATCCTCTGTCGTCCCCTTCTCCTCCTGCCTTCAATCTTTCCCAGCATCAGGGTCTTTTCCAATGAGTCAGTTCTTTGCATCAGGTGGCTAAAGTATTGGAGTTTCAACTTCAGGTAACCACAATATACAAAACAAACAACTAACTAAAGTTTTAAACCCGATTTATGAGTGTAATATAAAATAGTACTGTGGATGCTAACACCAATGTTACATTAACCAAGTCCTAAAACTGCACCTGTTGATACTGTACTAACCAGTATGTCTAAGCCTTTACTTTTCAGTTCAGTCACTCAGTCATGTCTGACTTTTTGTGAGTAAACCTTCACTTTAGTAAAGTGAACCTAGTAAAATAAAGTAAACCTTTACTTTAGGTCACACATAACACTAATATACCAATAAATAGGAACCATAAGAGTATGTGCCAAAATGCTGGAGGAAGGCCACAGGTGAACTTAATGGAAAAACCTGCCACCAGGTAATTAAGCATGCCACTAAAACATTTTCAGCTATTTTTCCCTTAATATCCCCATGTACATTCAAGATAGCGCTAAATAAATAAGTTCATAGGAAGGTAGAAAGGTCATTTTAAGTCCTGGTTTCGGGTGTGTCAATGCTTGTCAGAACAGCAGCAGGAAGACGAAACAGAAAGTTGTATCTATCATAGAAGGATTTAAACTTTTTCTTTTCTTTTGGTCTTGGGATGAACAGCAAACCCCACCAGTTCTCTAGAGTCTGCGTTCTCACTTCCCAGTAGACGTTGGGTTTAAGCAAAACTGCAGGAGCAGCAAGCCCTCTCTAGGAAACCTCAGCGTCTTTGCAAACAAGGACAGCGGGTTGTTCTCTACTCTCCCTGCTTTCCCTCTCATCTGGCAATCGCTTTGCCTTTCGATAGCAACCCAGGAAGGAGTGGCGCGCCCCAAATTCGCGAGGCTCTGCCAAATACCAGAAGCTCTTCTTTGGAAGACAGAGGCTCCTCCTTTGGACGTGAGGCGCCCCTACCAGAGCGCGCGCTTGCAGAAACGGAAACCACTAGCTGCGCTGAAGTGAGTCAAGTGATGAAATCAAGACTGCATGGGAAGGAAGCTCACCCAATAGCTTACGAACCTAAGTGGTGACAGACGTTGCTGAACTCTGCTCGTGGAAAGCCTACGAGCCAACCGTTGCTACTATCATGAGGTGGTCCTCGGAGGCACGGGGTACCCCGATCTCCGGACAGCGCACCCCTTCATTTTGGCAAAACGCAGAGGAAGAGAAGTGTGTCTGAAGGCTATCTAGATTCTCTAGTTCCCTAAGGAGTCAGACTGTGTTCTGGTTACAAGGTGACCCCTGACATCAGGTCAGCGCAGGACTCCCCAGGGTAGACGGGCTGAGACTCGCCCCGAGCGGAGAACCAGCCTCGCCTCTCGAGCGGCCAGAGGAGCCGCGCGGCGGCTGCGCGCGGCCAGGGACTGCGCCCTCGCCCCGCGCGCGGACCTCGGTCCTCACCTGGAGCGCTCAGGTAGGGCTTGGGCGGGGCGGGAGGCTGGCGCGCAGGCGCGGGGCGGGGGCCTCGCCCCTGCCGACGTCGCAGGCTGGAGCTCACCTGGGAGACTCCGAGAGGAAGCGGAGCCTCGGTTCGGCCTCTCCTGGCAACGCCGGAGGCCCAGCGGGAAGGCAGGAGGCGGCGGCGGAGGAGGAGCCGGACTCAGCGGCAACTGTAGCGACAGCAACCGGAGCCGTCGCCGCCGCCGCCGCCACCTGCACCTGGCGCCCGGCCCACGTCCAGCGCCCGCCGGGCCGCCGCTTCCCGCCGCCCTGCCCTGCCGTGCCCTGCCCTGCCCACCGGCCAGGTGAGTTGGCGGGCCGGCGCTAGGGTCGCGGCTGGGGACCCGTTGCCCCTGGGCAGCATCGGAGGTGGGGGTGGGGGGGAGGTCGGATCGACACAGAAGCTCACGTGGCGGGGAGACCGGGACGGTCCCGGTGGCCGGTTGGAGATGGTCTCGAGAGCTGTGTTTCAGTTGCCCTTCGGGAGAGTCCGAAAGGGGTGCCCGAGGCCGGGGGAGGTGACGCCCCGGGGGTCACCCTGTCACCCGCGGTGCCCCCTGTAAGGAGGCTCCAGAAGATCGAGCCCCGGGCCGAAGTCCCGGGGGCCCGGAGCCTGTCCCTTAGAGGGTCGCGGACTGGGGGTGGGGTGGGGAGGTGTTAAGGGCAGGGAGCCAGGCGGCCGCGCTTCCTCTCGGGCTAACAGGTTGCAGGTCTCCTCCCGCCCCGGTGCGGGTGCCGGAGCGGCGAGCCCGCGGCGGGAAGAGCCGAACTAGGCAGACAACTTTCCCAGCCCGACCCCAGACAGTCCTAGCTGGAAACCGCGGCCGCCGAGCCATTCGAATGGTTTCCGAGTGGTTTGGAAGGCGCTCTGTGGTCGGGACGCGGACATCCTTCTCTCTCTGTCTGTTTGGTCTCTGCACTTTTCCGGGTGCGCTCCCTAAGCCAGGCTGCGCCCACTTTCCGGTTTGATCGAGAAGTTATTTTCTTCGAGTCAGGAGGAAATCCAACTGCCACTCACCGACCGCACACCATCTCGTTAAAGGACCTGTTGACTTAACAACCTGCATATCGCGGGTTTGGTCTGCCTGTGGCATATGACTCAAAGGTTCAAAAAAACTTTGTTTCAGGAACCTGCCACGTCTGAACCTGGGTGTGCCAGGCCCAAATTCCTTTCCCTGCCTAATTAGGCTTTTCTGAAGCCTAAGAAATGAGGGTAAAACCGGTGCTTACCTTAGATTTTTATTTTCTTTTCTTTCAAAGTCCATCAAAGCACTTCCTTCCCTCTCAAAAACTCATCCAAACACCTCATTTTAAAATTGATCAAATAACTATTTCTGTTTTAAGAACTCCATGGAGTTACCAATTTTTTCTGGTTTTCAAAATACCTTATCAACTGAACAGTGAACATAATTTTCCATAGAAGTTATGCTGCAATATTGAAGACATTTTAATTCAAATTGTATTATTAAAAAATCAAAGTCGCTGCCTTTATTTGAGAATTTCTGGTTGTGGGGAAATCTGTTGCTTTTTTTTTACTGTGCAAATTTTTCTTTAAATTTGTGGCTAAACTATGTAAGGTTAAAATCATGCCCTACAAATGAATTTCTTTAAATTTAACTTTTAATGTCTGTAGTCTAGCATACGTATTAGTTGAAACATTCTGAACAGTTTGTACCAAGCATCTTTCTTTTTGCATTGCTTTAACTAGCATTTTTACATAGAAATTTTAATAATAAACTGTCTCACTGTCTAGATTTTTTTAGTTCTATCTTTGCTAATTTTTTAAACATAGTTTAAATTGAACACTTAACATAAAATGCCTTAGGAAACACAAATGTTTTTTTTAAGGCACTTAAAGTTAAAAATTCAATCACAGCACAATAGGAGATTATTATTAATGATAGCTTTAACCAGTGTGTTTTGCTTTTCATAAAAGAGCCTCACCTTCCCTCTTAATCTTCTTACCATACAGAGAAATGTGTGTGCTCAATACTGTTTAAAAATTAGATATGGGTATTGCTCTCTCTGAGGGGCTTCACAGGTGGGTCAGTGGTAAAGAATCTATCTGCCAGTGCAGATGAGAGTTTGATCCCTGGGTGGGAAAGATCCCCTGGAGAAGGAAATGGCAACCCATTCAGGTATTCTTGCCTGGGAATCCCAAGGATAGAGGAGCCTGGCAGACTACAGTCTGCAGGGTCATAGACAGGACTGAGCAACTGAGCACACACACATTGCTCTCTGAGTGTATGTTATTAATTTAATCTTATTGATTATTGGGCCAGATGTTGTTAGATTATCTTTACTCTTAATTCTAGAGAGACATGTAACATATCTGCATTATCTAGAGTAACAGTGTGTCTCATTTAAACTATCTGTAAAATAGAAAAAATAATACCTCCCTAGATTAAGATAATGAGGACTTAAGTCAGGAATCCCTCTAGCCCTACCCTTCTTAGGATCCCCTTCTCACTTTGGATATCCGGCCAACCCAGCCATTTTGTAATGAACTGAAGCTGAGAAGAGATTCTAACTTCAGTTCACCTAGCAAATTAATAGTATACATGGCCTTATTTGAGTGACTTGACTCGAGATCCATGTTATCTTTTCTTTTCACTACCCACCTTCTCATTTATCTTAAGATGTTTATCTTTCTGTCTTTCATATAGTTTGTAAGTCCTTTGTAATTACAGAACAGTCAATTGTTCTTTGTCCAGCTCTGATTTACTCTAATTTCTACTGTCCAGATGATGCCTGACTCCAGGGAGACTGAGTGAGGCTGTCAATCTTTTCTGTCACTGTGAGCACATGTGTATTGATGATGACATTGAGATTTTTTAATCCTTCCTTCGTATTTCAGAGCCACATTTAATTTTTTGAGTCAACTTGGCCAACATAATTTAGTCTTCTGATCTTTTATTATATTGGCTTAAAATGTATTTTACTTTAAGCCAATAAAACATCAGTGTTTTTAAAACTTTTTTTTTTTGGACTGCAGTCCTCAGAATTGCATTCTATTCTTCAATACAATAGGCTGAAGTATGTGTGTATATAAATGAAGCAAGGTTTACAAGGCAGTACTTAACCTTACAGCTGGATGTTCTCTATTATTTACTTTAAAAAATATTGGTCTTAAAACATGCATTGATTTTATGGGCACAGATGGGCTGGAACCTACAATAAAAATAGTGATGTCCTATTGAATTTACCTTTTTTTAAGGCTGATTTTTCTAGCAGTTTGTGTCTCTCTTATGCACACACATTCACGGGGAAGAAAATCAAACTGTACTTTTAAAAATGTATGAAATTATACTGTAATCCTTATGAAACATTTATTGGATGGCTAGAGGCTCTAGGACCTGGTGCTAGACCAAATCTCTCAAACATTAGGAACTGCATGAAACCTTATTGTACATCATTGTATCTTAAATAGGTTCTCAGTATATTGTGGTATGTTTGGGGACAGGAAAAACTGGAAAAGTTTTTCTGAAGGGATTTCGGTGGTAACTATTATCAAATGAAAGTTTGAGAGAGAAAAAGAATTCTGTCCCGCTCTAAGTACTAACATTTATGGCTGAGTTATATGCTGGGTAGAGTCTGAAAAAAATTATTATAGTAAACTGGCAAGTTTATTCTTTGGTTTGTAGTTTGTTAACATATATTTTCCTTTTACTATGAAACAAATATAAGACATATTGTAGAAATCATACCTTTTTCCCACCCCCCGCAAAGACTAGATTGGGAAATTGAGAAATTTGATTGGATCCCTAAAGGACCTGTAGGGATGTAGGCTTGGAAGCTCTAATTGGATGATTAAGCCTTCCATAGAAGCTTTTAATTTTAACCTGCCTTCAGATTCCTGGTAAAAGGAATCTTTCTCCGAAAGCAAATATTACTGTTTTAATATTTTAGAAATGATTAATGCCCAGATCATCTTCAGACATATTTAACTTTTTGGTCCATAGAATATAAAAATACATGTGTTATGCCAGATCTTTTATGACTGTAAAATCTTACTGAGAAAGAAATATTTTTAATCACCTATCTAATTATGCATCTAGTTAGGATCAGAATGATTAGTTTGATATAATTTGAATAATCAAAACACAATATGGGGCCAATAGCAGCAATGAATTCAAATCAGTGCCAGTAAAGACAAAAGACCAACATGCATTAACTTATGGCAAAGCAGAGACAAGTAGGACTCAGAATTCTGGGTCATTAGTGACTACTGGCAATTAGATGAAATCTCCTTCAGTCATTCTCTGGGTTGGCCTCATATTTTTGGCACTACACAGAGATTATTTTCCCAAGCATACATTTTTCCCCTATAATTGTTTCAGTTTCAAACTGTCCAAACTAGTTTTTTCATCTCATCTATACCATTGCCTGCTGGACATCTTTAAGATGTCATAATTACCTGAGATTATACATGTGTAAACCAGAACCTTCATCCCATCAAAACAGCAGCAGCAACAACAAAAAGACAACCTCTTTTACTTCCTGTATCTTCTTTATGAGCACTAGTACATTTACTGTATCTTATCCACAATTCCAAAACCAAAAGAATCTCTGTTAACAAAAATTTTTTTGGTTAACTCAATTCAATGCATTTGCCGTGAAACCTGAGTGAATTGTCAGGACGCCGTTTATCATCACTCTGCTTGGTGGATGTGTCTGGCTGAAGAAATAGTTTTATGCTTGATTATGTGTGTGCCAAGTCACTTCAGTCCTGTCCGACTCTGTGCGACCCTGTGGACTGTAGCTCTCCAGGCTCCTCTGTCCATGGGATTCTCCAGGAAAGAATACTGGAGGGGGTTGACAGGCCCTTTTCCAGGGGATCTTCCTGACCCAGGGATTAAGCCCTGCTCTCTTACGTCTCCTGCGTTGGCAGGCAGATTCTTTACCACTCGCTCCACCTGGGAAGCCCCTCTGTATTTGACTACATGGTACCATTCCAAGTGCTGCTGGGGGGCACTCTGTTATATTGGGTATGTAAACCACATCTCCTTTCTAACATCCAAAATGTCTCAATTTTTGAAACATATTAGGCTCCTGGGATTTTGGCGAAGGGTTTATTGATCTGTATCACCATCCAGGTGTCATGCCAGAAATCCAAAGGACACTTTTTACTCTCATTTTAGCTTCTAGAACTATCAGAATACTGAATCTCTTTAAGGTTTTCCACCTTCTTTTTTCACAAATTCCTCTCCTTCTTCTATTGCTCTAGTTCAGGGTCTCATCATCTTTTGTCTTGGGTACCACAGTCACCTGCCACCTGATATCTCAATGGATAGTGTTAAGCTCA